TTCCAGTGGTGGGGACCCAGTGTCCTGGGATAGGGCTAGGGAACTCTCCCTGCCCCATGGCAAGCTCAGCTCCCAGCCCATGTCATGTTCATTCTCCCTGCTCCCAGTGGGGAAACTGAGGCAGGGGTCAGCCATGGTCACAGCCTGGGCATCCCTAACCCCAAACTGCTCACTGCTCACATCCCCCCTTACCTGGCTGGGGTGGGCCCTTCTCCCCCCCTGGCTGTGTTGGGGGAGTGGTCCCCATGGCTCAGTGTTGACTCTGGACTGGCCCCCACCTCGCATCCCTGGGAGGGGTGAAGGGGCTGTTGGTGTTGGCAGCCCCACAGAGGTGCCATGGCGTCCCAGCTCAGCCTAATGCTCACAGCAAGCTGCGGGGCGACCATATATCTCATGCACCCTCCTACCTCTCTCTGCCCTCCACAGCCTGCCCCAAAAATACCAGGAGCCACACTGCCTTGGGAACAGCTTTATTTGGACAACCCTGCACCCATGGGCAGGCAGGGCATGTCCCATCCTGTCCCATCCCACCCCACCACTGCTGGGGTCCAGGGCTGGTTCCCATCACGCGGCCACTCGCCATGCATCCCGCAGCCTGGCCTTCACCCGAAACTTCTGCACCTGCAGCACGACGCCGAACTTGCCCTCCAGTGAGGGCAGGGGCTGGTCCTGGGGGCACTCGAGTGTGAAGCGCTGCAGCACCCAGGCCAGGAAGAGGAACAGCTCCATCTTGGCCAGGACTTTGCCCAGGCAGACACGGATCCCAGCCCCAAAGGGCAGGTAGCTGGGCGAGGGCGAGTGGATGTGCTGGCCCCGCTCATCCAGGAAGCGGCCTGCGATGGGAAGGGGCACCATTGGCATCAACAGGGATCGGTCCCTGAGAACTGCCTGAGTTCATCACCTGCGTGTCCCTCCCCTGAGCTGCAACAGCACAGACAGTGCAAGTGCCCCAGCCAGGGGGGAGCAGCATCCAATATCCCACCACCAAGTCACCCCCAGGCTCAGCCTCTCCTGCTGCACCCACCCCACCATCCCCTGCCCCCTGGGAGCACTGAACTCACCGGGGTTGAATTCCTCAGGCTTGTCCCACTCCTTCTCATCGTGGTGCACGGACCAGAGGTTGATGACGACCCTGGCACCCTTGGGGATGGAGTATTCCCCTATGCTGCAAGGCAAAAATGCAGAGGGAGATGGTTGCTCCCTCCCATAGTCTCTGTCGGCATCCTGACAGTACTGTGGGGGTCTCACCTGGTGTCGGCAAGGGATACGTGCGGGATGAGCAGCGGGGACACGGGCCGGATGCGCAGCACTTCACTGATGGTAGCCTCCAGGTAGGGCAGCAGTGGGCGGTCGCTGAGGAGGGGATGACGCACCAGCCCGATCTTCTGGTCCATCTCCTCCTGGATCTTCCTCTGGACCTGGGATGGGAGGCAGGGCTGGGCTGGGAGCCCAGGGATGGGGTGGCCTGTGTGTATGGGCTTCCCATGGCAGTTGTTCTGGCAGGTTGTACAGGGCAGAAGTAAAATGCCCACAGCCTGATCCTTCTTATTGGCAAAGCCTGACATCTCTCTTGGCATCTGCCTTCCCCGAAGCCCTCCATGATGTCCCTGGTGGCCCTGACACAGAATGCAGACCCTACCTCGGGGTAGTGGAGCAGGTAGAGCACAGCCCATTTGAGCACAGTCGTGGTGGTCTCCACACCAGCCCCGAAGATGTCCCCCACCGTCATGAGGAGGTGGTCGTCAGTCAGCTCCAGCCCTGGTGCCAGGGCACTGCTGCTCTCGGCACTGAGCCTCACTTGCAGGAGGGCATCCATGAGGTCCTTTACGGTGTCCCCGCAGAAGGCTTCCTGCCAGGGGACACATGTGAGCTGGGCTGTGCTGGGCACAGACCCCTCCAGCACCCCACAGCTCCTGAGCATTGCCCTTGTCCTTGCCCTGTTGGCACCTTGTGTTCAGTGAACTTCTGCTGGAGCAGCTGGTCCCGCACCTTGAGGCATCTCTTCAGCAGGGCCAGGTCCTTGTTGGGGAAGATCTGAGGGGAGAAAAGCCCCATTACAGTGAGGGGCTCCAGTTCAGCCCAGCCTCTGCAGTCCATCTGTGCCCACCAGGGTACTGGCTCTTGGGGGACACCAGGGCAGGGACCCTCCTAAACCCTGGGGTGCTCAGGTAGCCCCGTCCTGCATGACACCTGCCAACTCCTTCCTGTGATCCAAGGTGAGAGGAACTAGCAGTCCCTGTGTCCTTGCTTACCTGGAGCCACGGGAAGATGTCCACCAAGCTCTCCTTGGCCACGGTGTCCACGATACCCTGGCTGTACTCCAGCATGGCCTCGAACTCGGGGTCCCCGCGCCGGTACGAGGAGTTGAAGCAGAGGGAGCAGACCACGTTGGTGACGGCCCGTGTGAGCTCAGGGCCCATGTCCAGGGCCATGTCCTGTGCAGCGCTGAGTGTCTCGCAGAGGGACGCAGCTTCCCGGCAGACTGTGGTGGAGAGGCAGGTAAAGGGGTGATGGTGGAGATGAGGGGGTGCAGGGGGCATCTGGGTGATGGAAGGAGGAGTCCCCCACTCAGGGTGTGCAGCCTGCAGAGAGCCGGGTCAGGGCTGAGCCTCAAGGGGCTGGGGTGGCTAGAAGGGGTGATACTGGGTGTGGGAGGAGCAGAGGAGATGGAGACACACAGCAAAGTCTGTGTGCAGCTGGATGCACCTCCTGGGTGGAGTGGGGAGCCTGGTGGGCTGGGAGCTGGCTCCATGCCTCAGTTTCCCCAGCTGAGCGAGGGGAGACATAGCTCAGGGGGAAAAACGTATGGGGAGAGGTGTTGGCAAAGTAGCAGGGATGGAAGGAGAGGGACTGAGCTCATGCCAGGCAAACTAAGTGCCTGCTGGGGGGCGTTGAGCCAAGCCAATGAGTGCCCCTCGGTTCCCAGGGGATCAGGGCACAGGGAAAGGGAAAGCCGAGCTCGGATCAAAGTGCGGGAGGAGGAAGAGCAGGGAGGGAGCGGGGGGGGGGGGGCACTTACTGATCCTCTCGAGGGTGAGTGAGCCCTCCCCGAACATGGAGAGCGCAGCGTGCACCAGCTTGCGCTGGAACTTCCAGAGGGGCCCGTAGCTGGCAAAGGCGATGTCCTTTCCCCCCCGGGACAGCAGGTCCGTGGTCACCTGTGGGACACGCAGTCCCAGGGTCACCCTGCTGCAGGGCAGCCCCGAGAGGGGTGATGCTGCGGGGGCTGGATGGTCATCTCATCCCAGGGATGGTCCAGGGGGATGGTGGTTAATGCTGGTGGGCAAAGCCAGGGCCATGAGCTTTGCTTTCCCACCCCAAAGACTGATGGAGAGGTCTGGGGACAGATGCCAGGGCTAGGGACAGGGGTGCCCAGGAAACTTGGAGGGTGCAGGGAGCCCGGTGGTACCTGAACCCATGCCTCAAAACGCAGCCAGCCCTGGGGAAAAACGGGCCCCCTTGGGATGGAGGATGCACAGGATTCGCCCCGGGGAACAGGGCAGAGAGGGGGTTGCCCCTGCAGCTGCCATTGCTGCAGGCAGAATGGGAAAAGCAGAAGGACCCTGCCGGGTGCCAGCCCCTCTCTTGTGAGCATCCCCCGCCTCACCCCACGCCGCAGGAGGAGGGGATCCCCCAAACCCCGCTGCCGACTCACGGTGCGGGGCCGTCCAGCGAAAGCCTTCCCCTTCTTCAGCAGCACCTCCCTGGCGTGCCGGTAGCTGTTCACCACCACCACGTAGTGCGAGCCCATCCAGAGAGCATAGAGGCTGCCGTAGCGGCCCTGCAGGCGCCAGAGCCGCAGGTGGAGCTGGGGGTGCCCGGCCAGCTGCAGCAGGCTGCCCACCAGCGGCAGGGCGGGCAGGCTCCGCGGCCGCCCCGGCCCCGCCGTGTCCCTCCGGCGTGCCAGCCCCCAGGAGCAGAGCAGGGCCAGAGCCAGGGCCAGCAGCAGGGCGCCCAGCAGCGGCATGGTGTGGGGCCAGCTGTGGGGCCGCAGCGGCGCGGGGGGCCTTTATACAGGCGGCGGGGCCGTCGCCTTGACCCCAAGGCGGGCTCGGCTCCTTATCAGGGGGACGGGAAGGGGGGACCGGGCGCTGGGCCTGGAGCCAGCCCTGCAGCTGGGCACCTGACGGGGGCGAGGGCTGCGGGGCCATGGTCGCACCGGGTGGCCGTGGGGGAGCTGCATCCAGCGGGCTGCGGGCCAGGGTACAGGCAGGGATGGGTCTGTGCTCAGGCTCCATCGCGGTGGATGAGGGGTACAGGGGCAGCCCCGGGTGCCATGAGCACAGCTGGGGACCGGTGGGACACTGGGGTCTGTCCCAGCCTGGGCACCCTTCAGCGTGCCTGGGAGCGGATGGGCAGCACAGGGCTGGGGGCACTGGGGAGTGCTGGGCAGCCCTGGGCAGCAATGGGCAGTGCTGAGATGCCCCAGACAGCTCTGGTCGGTACTGGCCAAGCACTGGGAAGTCCTGAGGAGCCCTGGGGCAGTGCTGGTCAAGCACTGGTCAGTGCTGAGAAGACCGGGTCAGCTCTGGTGAGTGCTGGGCAGCAATAGGTCAGCCCTGTGCAGTGCTGCAAAGTCCTGGTGAGTGCTGGGCAGCAATGGGCAGTGCTGGTCAGCCCTGTTCAGTACTGGGCAAGCACTGGTCAGTGCTGAGAAACCCTGGGCAGCTCTAGTCAGTACTGGGCAGCAATGGGCGGTACTAGGCAAGCCCTGGTCAGTGCTAAGAAGTCCTGATCAATACTGGTCAGTGCTGAGAAGCCCTGGTCAGTACTGGTCAGCAATGGACAGTACCAGGCAAGACCTGGTCACTGCTAAGAAGCCCTGATCAGCACTGGTCAGTGCTGAGCAGCCTCGGGGTGTCCGTGCCCGAGGTGATGTCCGGGTCTGAGGTGTCCTGAGGAGGGCCGTGGAGGCACCCGAGGGCCCGGCCCCGGGCCGAGGCTGTCCCTCCGCCCCACCTGCGCGGGCCCTGCGCCTTCCCGACTCTTTAGTCCCCCGGCACTCGCCGTAGCGGCGCGGGGCGGTGCGCGGGCAGGGTAAGATGGCGGCGGCGGGCGCGGCAGACGCTCAGGCGCGCTTCGGTCACTCGGTGAAGGGGCTGCTGACCGAGAAGGTGACCAGCTGCGGCACCGACGTGATCGCCCTCACCAAGCAGGTGCTGAAGGGCTCCCGCAGCGCCGAGGTGAGCGGCGGGCGCCACCGGACTTAGGACTACAGAGCGCGGCATGCGGCGCGGCCAAGGAGTGCGGCCCGGCGAGCCCGCGCGGGGCACGCTGGGAGCTGTAGTTCTGGAGGGGGCCTCCCACCAGCGGGTATGGCCGTGGGGCTCTTGGGTGCCCCTTGGGTGCGCTGGGGGGTGGTGAGAGGCGGGGGGCTGCATTTGCCCCATGACATGTCGGCAGTGATGGGCTGGAGGTGCTCTCCTCAAGGCCGTATGCTCTGAAGGGTGGGCACTGCACCCCCGAGCCTCGTACCGTGTCAGCCGTGCACACAGGTCTTGGGACACAGAGGTGCTGCCTCTCAGTCTGGTGTGTTTGTCTCCTAGCTCCTGGGTCAAGCTGCTAAAAACATGGTGATGCAAGAAGATGCCATCCTGCACTCGGAAGATGTAAGCTGTGTTTTACTGCTAGAACAAGTGTTTCTAGTGGACAGGAGGAGAGGAGGATTATAAGAACTGATATGCAAACACGTTATCTTCGATAACGTGGTATTTTCCTACCCTGAAGTCATAGAATCATAGAATGGTTTGGGTTGGAAGGAAGTTTTAAAGGTCATCTAGCCCAACACCCTTGCCATGGGCAGGGACATGTTCACTAGATTGGGTTGCTCAGGGCCCTGTCCAGCCTGGCTTTGAATGTTTCCAGGAATGGGGCGTTTACTACATCTCATGAGTTCAGGCAGCAGGGCTGGTGGCCAGAATAACTCAGTGCTTCTTCAAACCCACATGTGCTGCTGGTCTTTCAGCATCCTGCAGCCCAGGTCAGCCCTTAAGCTGTGCCATCTCTACCGGAAAGCTCGAGGGACCATACCTTGAAACAGAGCACTTACTGTCAGTGCCTGTCTCACTGGGAAAGAAGAGGGGAGCGTGCCACTGCTGACAGATACTGGTGGAGATGTTTCAGAGTTGGTGCAGTGCTACAGTGGTGGCCATGCTGGAGGAGCTCCCCAGGGTGTAGGGACAACCTGCCCTGTGATTCTGCTGAACTGCTCCTATCCAACATTCATTCTTTGTCTTGTTCTCCACAGAGTTTAAGGAAAATGGCCATAATAACGACTCATCTACAGTACCAGTAAGTAGAGGTGTCGACACCACGTTCTGTCTGGGGAGCTAAGTGATTCCCTTGATTCCTTTCCTGTCTACTTAAAGACTTTTCACAAAGCCCACTCAGACCAACCCCTCTTGGCTCGCTCCTCAAAGCTGAGCAGACTCTGAAGCTGGGATCTTCCAGGCCTCTCCAGCTCCACTGGTACAGCTCAGACTGTTTTAGGGTGGGACAGCCGGGATTTTTGCCTGCTGTTTGCCATGCAGAGTTTCTCCTATGAGGGCATGTGACACATTTCAGACTAAAGGGGAAAAGCTAGTGCTGTTTCTGTCCTCTAGGACTTAGAAACACACTGGGGTTTTGGTCTCCTGAGCCCATAATCGAGTCCCTTTTCTTCAACATAACATGAACCCTGTTGCTAAGATTTTGTTTTTCTAATGCTGTTTTTGTCTCCTTTTCTCATCTAGGCAAGAAGCAATTCAGAAGAAGTGAGTCCTCAGCTGAAGAAACAGTAGCAGGACCTGGGGGACATCTGTCCCCCAGGAATGGTTGATGGAAAGGGAAAAAGGATGGAGTAGGGATGGTGGGAAACAGCAAAAAGGTTTGTGCAGCTGCCTTTGAAGCAGATGCCGGCCCAGTGGGATAGTGTTTTGGGATTGTGAAGAGATGGGAATTTGAGTGAAGGGATGATTTATACCAGAACTTCCACTTGTTTCATTGACGTGGTAGAGCCTGCTAGGTTGGTTGTGATAGGAGAGGAGGGTGGTGTAGAGCAGAGCTGTCTGCTTATGAGTGCACAAAATGAGGTTTGCCTTGTGGGGATATGAAGGTGGGCTGGGGAGCCCCAGGGTTCTCTTTGTTGTAGCATCAGTGCTACAGCCTTTCTGGTCAGCACAGCCTGGGGAGCAGATTTCATGGAACCTCTTCTTGCTTCATCTCCAGCGTCGAGCAGTCATCAAACCTGCAGGACCAGCTGAGCCACTTGCTGAAATGAAGCGTAGAGAAGGCATGAGGACATCTCAACTGGCACTAAGGACAGTGAAGCGTCCTTTCCCCTCCAGACCTGGGGGTTCAGGCCTGTGTTTGGATGATGCTGGATGTCAGCTGGGAGATGTGCAGAATCTTTCTTTCTGGGCACATGGGCCCCTCTTGTGTGTCTCCATCCACGTCTCTGCTCCAGAGCACTCACCTGCTAACCAGAGCAAACTGAAACAAACTCACCTGAAACTTTCCCCCCCCAGCAATTCTTGGGTCTGCTTACATCCCATGTAGCATGAGGTGCTCAGCCCACACCAGCATCCCTGGCAAGAAATGCATGAAACTGAGTGTGGGTTTTAAATACAGGTGCCAGCAGTTTGACACTGATCTGGATTTAGACACAGAGGTGGCACAGAGTGCTTTTTATTTAGGGCATGTTAATCAGTGGGAGCTGTAAGTGGGTGGGAGAGGTGCTTCAGTGTTGACTGAGGTGCCAGTCCCAGGCCAGCAATTCTGAAAGTGGGAATGTGGGCACACACCTCTGTCACTGGTCAGCTGGACATGGTTTGGCCAGCATCCTGCTCAGAGGTTATCTTACTTTCCGCCCTGCCACAGTTCAGAACATCATCCTCTTGCCAGCCCATCTGCACTGCTTTCAGCCTTCAACTGCATTCCTCTTCCTGGGCTGCGGCTCCAGCTTTTGATGAAACAGCCTTGGCTGTGGTGTATGTATCTGCTTGGGAAGGTATCCAAAGGCCTGGCCGGGAAGCGGGCAGGATAGCATGAGGGTCTGGTGTACTCAGTTCTGCACTGCTCTGTGCTGGAAGAGTAGCAACCAGGCTCCTGTTCACATCCTGGGTAGCGACATCAGGCCCAGGCTATAAATACTGTGTGTTGGTTTTGGTAGGTCACTTATCTGGAGCACTTGGAGCGCACGGGAAGCACTTGTTCGCCTGAGTGTGCTTTTCATTAGCTGATAGAAGGCGGCAGGCTGAGAGCAGGCATCAGCCTGACACATTCCTGTTGGAGTGGCGCTGGGCTTTGGCTCCTGAGAGCCACCTCCTGGGCTGGATTTCACCATTCCCTCCATTGGCACTGGCTTGACCTGGTGGCACTACTGCTCCTGCGTTCGCAGGAAGGTACTACTGTTACCCAGGGTCTGTGTAGCATGTGTGCGTGTGTGTGTGTGTGTGTGTGTGTGTTTGTGTTTGTACCTTGGGAGGGGTCCTGATCCCCAGCTTTACAGATGCACTTTGGGAATGAGGGTTTTCCCTGAGCTGTGCCTCGCTGAGAATAAAAGCTCCCTGAACACCACCAAGCCTCACCAGTCTGCTGGATGCCATTGCAGCTAGTCTCTGTGCAGAGGGGAGACTGGGTCTCTGCCCTCAGATGTCCCCTATTGTGCTTCAGCTCTGGGGGTTCTTTGCAGTGTGTCCTTGCTGCAGGGGGCCCACCTCCAAGGTTCCATCCTTTGGAGAGGCCAGAGCAGCCCTGCAGCATTAAACTCGTGTCTCCCTGCATTTGGGGTGAGCACGGGCAGAGCTGCACGCACGTGGGTGCAGAGATAGGGGGAGGCAGCAGGAAGGGGCTTTGTGGGTGCGGGTGCAGGCATGGCCCATGTGTGATGGCAGCGGGCTCCGTTTCCCCCGCGGGGCCCTGCCCCACGCTCTGGCCGTACGGGAGCGGTGTCGGGCGGAAGCCGGGCCCCGGAGCCGGGGCGGTGCAGGGTCGGGGCGGAGCGTGGCCCGGGCTGAGCGGAGCTTGGCCAAGCGCAGGAGCCGCAGGCAGTAAGGCGGGCCGGGGCTCGGCCGGGGCATCCCTGGGCAGCCCTGCGGCTGAGGGCTCTCGGCAAAGCAAGGCGGGGTGGTGTTTGGGAAGGTTTTTAGGGGCTCGTCTCTCCAGGGCAGCTGGGATTAGGGTTGGGGGAGACAGGGGGATGTTGTCAGGAGGCACAGGAGCATCCCACTAGGCTGAAAGTTTGGGGGGGTCTCCTTGGGTGCTGCTTTCAGGGGGCAAAGAGTGCTCCTGTATGTGGGGGAAGAGGGAGGTTTGGGGCCTCTGGGAGGACCTGGCGTGGTGCCCATCGCAGTGGCGTCAGGCACCAGCCCCATGTTCCTGTTGCAGTGGCAGCAACCTGTGGAGAGCAGATCCACCGGGAGGTGCAGGTGAGGGGTACAGGTGGGAGGTGGAGAGGGGATGGGGGAACACAGAGGGTGGGGAGGGGGGAAAGGTTGACTGGGCAAGGGCAGCTAAGCCCAGGCTGTGCTGTCATGCCTGCTGCAGTCCAAGGGCAAAGGTGGTTTTGGGCTCCAAATAACAGTATTAGGTGTGGCCGGCTCCTTTGCTCTAATTTCCATAGGAATAAGGTGCTGAGTAACCCTGTGTTTTCCTGCCCTCATTCCCTGTGCCTCTCTTGGCTGGGGAAGTGGGGGCTGCAGCCTGCAGAGTTATTGCAAATGGAAATTAAATCCCCCACTGCACAAACATGCTGTGCATGCAAGCAAGGGGAGATGGGCGGGATGGGAGCAAAGGGGTGCTTGACGTTACCCTAATTTTTAGCTGAGTACAAATGAGAGTGCCAGAGGACATCGGGTGCATGTACAGGTCGAGTGCAGGCATGGCCCTCGTGTTTTGGTGCATGGGGAGCTCCCAGGGCACAGCTCGCTGTAGTTTGGTGGCCTCTGTCCCTCCCATCTCAGGATTACTATGGCAAAGAGCTGCAGAAGACAGAGGACCTGAAAACCAACGCATGCATCACCCCGAGCAAGCCCGTTCCCAAGGCGGTAAGAGATGCTTTGGAGCGTGTCCACGAGGAGGTGGCGGCCAAGTAAATCCAGGACTTTCCCCTCTGCTGCTGTGTCCCTGTGGACTGCAGCCCCTCAACCACCATGCGCGGGGGAGCACCTCTGCCCGGCTCAGCTCAGCATCCCTTCAGGTACTACGGCTGTGGTCTGGTGGTCCCCGAGTGCCTGGCATCCTGTTGGATCCTGGACCTGGGCAGCGGCAGCGGCAGAGACTGCTACCTGCTGAGTCAGCTGGTTGGGGAGCAGGGCCATGTCACTGGCATAGACATGACCGAGGGCCAGGTACGTCATGGAGCTAGGGCTTCCCCTCAGCCACCCCAGCATTCCCCCTCATCATCCCCTTCCTTCTCCCAGGTTGAGGTGGCGAAGAAGCACATTGCCTACCACATGGAGAAGTTTGGCTATCAGAAGCCAAATGTGGAGTTCCTCCAGGGCTACATGGAGAAGCTGGGTGATGCTGGGCTGGCTGACAACAGCTATGATATTGTCCTGTACGTACCACACAGGCATGCAGGAAACTGCCACCCCTGGTGCTGCTGCTGCCTGGGGCTGTGGGCTGGGGTCCAGGACTGCATCACACTGGGTCACCTGCTTCAGGAGCACGTGTTAGGAAAGGGAAAAGCCCAACTGTGCCTGGGGGAGAGCCTGGGAATATACAAACTGCCCATTTCGTTGTCGAATCGGCATCTCCAAATCCTGCATGAAGCCACGGGACATGCAGCAGGCAGTGGACGTGCAGCAGCTGGTGGTGCTGAGTGTGTGAGAGGGTGCAAATGAAGTCTGGTTTCCTCCCCAGCTCCAACTGCGTGATCAACCTCTCCCCCGACAAGAGGGCTGTGCTGCAGGAGGCCTACCGCGTGCTGAAAGTAATGATGGGGCCGGTGCCTGTGGTGGGAGCAAAGCAGTGTTGGGGTGTCCCTCCTGTTGGGGTGCCACTGGGATGCAGCAAATGGGATCCAGCATGGCGGAGATGGGGCAGGGGAGGGCACCTCTGCATAGGGATCTGAGTAAGGTAGCATTGAGGGGTGCCCGGTTCTCCCTTCCCCCTTTGTCCTGTTGCTTCTTGGGATCTCCCTTCACTCCTTGCTGCCTTCCAGCCTGGAGGAGAGATGTACTTCAGTGATGTCTATGCCAGCCAGTGCCTGAGTGAGACCGTCCGGAAGCACAGGGTGCTGTGGGGTGCGTAGGGCTCTGGGATGGGGGTGCCTGGGATGGGGAGACTGCACCTTTGCTTCCATCACATTTGTCTGTGGTCTCATGCTAGGAGAGTGCCTGGCGGGAGCCCTGTACTGGAAAGACCTGTACAGCATCGCCGAGGAGGTGGGGTTCAGCCCCCCATGCCTTGTCACTGCCAGCCCCATTACCATTGGTGACAAGGAGTTGGAGAGCATTGTTGGTGAGGGCCTGAGCAGAGAGCATCAGCTCTGGGCAGCCATGGGGGCTGTGCTGGCACCCGGGGCTGGTTCCCAACCCACCAACCTCTCCTTTGCAGGTGACTGCCGCTTCGTCTCCGCGACTTTCCGCCTATTCAAGGTGCCGGTTAGCAGCCGGGCTGGGCCGGGCCAGGTCACTTACAATGGTGGGATCGTGGGGCACGAGCGAGAGCTGGTGTTTGATGCCAACTTCACCTTCAAGGTGCATGTAGGGGCATGCTTGGGCTCCCAGGATGGCATGCAGTCCTGGTCTGTGGGGTGGGGTAAAGCAGTGCTACTCAGCAGCGTCCTCTGTGATTTTGGGAGTAGAGGGAGTAGTAGGTGGGAACAGAGGGGCTATATAAACCATGGAAGGTTCAACCAGAGAGGTAGATCCATGCATTGCGTTGTGGTGAAGGTAGGAGCAGGACATCCATGGTGGCTTCACAGGAGGGTTTGAAGCCAGCTGCTTGGTGGTATGGATGTTTCTCAAGATTTTGGGGTCAGGCTGTGCTCCTGCTTTTGCTGCACACTGTCATCTGGGTGACTGGGGTCCCGTGCGCCACATAACCCAGACCCCAGCCCTGTGACTATCCCTCTGCCCCTAGGAAGGAGAGGTGGTGGACGTGGATGCTGAGGTGGCTGCGATCTTGAGGAGCTCCAGGTTTGCGGAGAAGTTCCTGATCCAACCTGGTGCTGCAGCACAGGGCTGCAGTTGCAAGGGGGTCAAGGTCAGTAGCAGGCAGCTCCACAGCTGGGTTCAGGGATGAGGACATGGATGTCCGTGCCATCAGAGTTGCCCTGGGGTATCAGAGGGGTTACGGCATGACACCAAGAGACATGAGGCAGTCTGTGCCATCAGAAGCCCATGGGATGCCTGAATTTGAGCAACTGTACCCAGCACAGGTTGGAGCCCTCCAGAGGGGGGATCTGCTTTAACCAGCTGACATGAGAGCCCTGTGCCCCCCAGCATGTCTGTGGGGGCTGCCAGGACTGCCAGCTGGAGCTGCCTGAGATATCCCAAGGGGAGACATCTTTCTCCATGGGGGATGGCTGGAGACAGCCTGCCCCAGGGAGGTGATGGCCAATCCCTGCGGCTTGTTCTTGCCCATTGCCCTCACAGCTGCTGATGTGAGCTTGGCCCTGGCTGCCAGCCCTGAGCCCGCAGCACAAAGCATCTCTATCAGCTGGAAGCCTCTCTTCTCTCTTTGATGGTCCCTCCAGCCCGTAGATGGGCCAGGAGAGGCAAGGGAGATAACACCCTGCAGCTGCATGTCCCTGAAACACAACCTTGTACTTGGGGAGGGGGAGATGTTCTCGGGTCCCTGTCCAAGCAGGAGGCGCTTCTCAGATGAAAGCAGAGCCGAAGTCCCAGAGAAGCTCTTGGCTTCCTCCTCGTGGCAGGGAAGAGGAGCTGAGTGACCCGGGGACTGCCCCTGTGTTAGCTATAGAGGGTCTGCTTGGGCTGCGCTGCTGGCAGGGAGCGAGCTGGGGGGAATGCAGCTTTCCTGGGTGCCTTTTGCTTCCCTCTGGCCTGATCCTGCCCTGGGTGTTCTGTGCCCTCTAGGAGAAGATCTGTGATCCCTTTCAGCTGCTGGAGCAGCTGTTGACCCCACGTCCTGCCTGCTGTCCTGGTGGCTCCTGTGGTCCTTCCTCCTGAGTGCTGAGTGATGCCCCTGCACCAGAGGGTGCCAATAGGGCAGGAGGATGCGGCCCCAAAGGCGTGAGGCTTCCACCGGAGAACAAATAAATGGCCAAGCTTGAAAGCTGTGTGCTTGTGGCTGGGACCATAGGGCCTGAGGGGTGCTGTGCTTCCCTGCTGGGGCTTGTGGGGCAGGTTGTGCCTGTTTGTGGTGAGGATGGGAAGCCATCCTATACGTCCCCTTGCTATGGGCCTGGCAGTGGCTGCATGGCTTGGACATGCAGGCAGGGACGTCTCTGTACGAATGGGATCGTTGGTCCCTGCATGTAGGATGGCAGGGCTGGTGTGGGTTTGGCAGCAGCTGTGTGCTGATGTTGAGCCCATGGAGAAGAGCAGAGATGTTTACAGAAGGCAGCTGGGCAGAACAGGGTGCCAAAGGAGGCCCTGGAGCCAGGCAGGGCCTGGCCCTGCAGCATGCACCCCTCTGCATGAGCAAGGCTCCAATTTGAGGTATTGGAGAGCCTGCAGCTGGGACACAAACACTTCTGAGAAGCAAAAGGCACAGCAAGAAACAGCCCAGTTGCTTTTTTCCTTCTTTTGAACTCCCTGTGCTAACCCATCACACAGAGGGATCTGCAGGCATCCGTCTGTCAGGCAGAGACTGTGCCAGCTCCTGGCAGTGGGGTGAGCAGCTCAGTAACATGGGTACAAATGAGCATCCCCCCCAGGGCAGTGGGTGAGAAAGGTTGGTCACCTCCTGGGGGCTCGGCCAGCCCTGCTTCTCCATGAAGAGCTCACTGTGGCACACAGGGTGCAAAGGGATGTCCCTGTTACTTGCATGCAGGATAGGGGATGCCCCAAGCACAGCTCCTCATGCCTTGTCTTGCAGCCCCATAGCCCATTCCAGGAGAAGGGAATTTTTCTACCTTTCCCTGTGCAGCGCTGCTGAGATTTCTGTTCCGCCCTGGACTCCATGTAGAGGAAAAGGCCCAAGCCCTCTGCAGCCATCACACCTGCAGAGTTTTGCAGGGAAATGCAGGGATTCTGGAAAAGCAGAAACCTGGTTGACTGCTTCCTGCATCGGGCAAGGAGTGAGGGCTTTGGTGGTGGGAGATGAATCCCACATGCCCTGGCCCACAGGCTGTTTGGTGAAGGTGAGGAGCTGCTGAGCAACAGCCCTTGGGTGAGCAGCTGAGCTTAGAAATGTGGAACTGCTTCCACCCCTCCTCATGCACTGGTTTTCCACGAGGGACCGAATTTCCCCTCTGCATTTAAGCAGCATCTTGCTGTGACATGGGGGAGGAGAAAAAGCAAACAAAAAATATCTGGGTTTAAAAATAAGCATGGGCAAGTCCCAGTGATGCTCTGCAGCAGCAGGAGCGGTGGCTGAACAGGGTCTCTGCGGCAAGGAGGATTTCCAGAGCATCTGGCTTGAAAAGTGAGTAAAACCCACAGGGTCGCACAGTGATGGGAAATCCAAAACCAGGCATGACAGCCCAGACCACCTCACGTGCCCTCTGCCATCAGCAAGGTGAGGGAGTAATTAACTTACAATTTAGAGATTAAACATATTAATAATGCCCGTAAGTACAGCTTCTTGGAAAGCTGCCTTGCCAGCCTGTCCTTTTGGCTGTGGACAAGACTATGACCTGCTGGGTGCACAAAAATTCATGAGTTGTTGTGTTTAGAGCTATACTATGAATAAAGAAGATAATCCTTGGTGCTATCTGCAGTCAAGAGGGCATGAATTAGCTGGCTTCAGGTAGGGCACCCTGGCAGACCAGCCTCCAGTGGTGGCTGTGACCTGGCAGGTAGAAGAGCTCTGGAACTGCATGTACTGATGTGACCTTGGGAAGGACCTGCTGAAAACACTGCCAAGATGCTGTTTAATCCCCCCCTGCATAGCCCTCTTCCACAATTGCTTACAAAGACTTTACCGAAGTCCCCGCAGAGCCCATCCTGGGAGGTTGGCAGCAATTAGCTCCTGCTATCAGAGAGCCTCCCCAGTGTGAACGGAAGAGCAGATGGGGCAGGGGGCCCTAACTGCAAACCCTGTCATTAAAAAGGCATGAGTCCCTGCTATGGTCTTTCAGCTTCCCTGAGGACAGAGGACCCCACAGCAAGGTCCCCCTCTTCTGTGCATACAGAAAAAGGGCACAGCTAAATGCCACCCCATTTACATAGTGCTGGGTTGTTTTTTCCCAAATCCTTGGCATTTCTGGGAGGAAGCAGCTGAAAGGACTTGACTTTGAGCTTTCAGTAGGGGTCCTCACCAGGCTGTGGATGTGGGGTGTCTTGTCTGCCTGGCTTTGCTTGTGCATGCAAAGCTTTAGGGTTTTGCCCCCCCACCCCCAAGGTGTGAGGAGGTCCTGCAGCCCCATCTGTGGAGAACCCCAAATCAATCTGTCCAACACCCCGCTCTTGGTGTTTTGGTGGTTGCAGAGCTGAGCCAACTGCTCTTCTCCCAGTGTGAAGCTCTACTGTGTTCTGCAGGCAGGGAGGGTGCAGTGAGGACAGGAGCCCTAAGTGGTGGTGCTCTGATTCACCCCGAGGTGAAAGGGAAGTGGCTCGGGAGTCCCTGCTCACTGTGGTTAGCAGGGAGTTGCTGTGTCTCAGCAGCATCCTTCACCTCCTCGAGGGAGCAGATCTGCAGGACTCCCTTGGGATGAGCTGAATGAGGTCTGGCACCATGGAAGATCTGTGGCTAAGGCCCCATGAGCACTATGCTCTGCTCCCTGTGTTGGGTTGGCCTGTGAAATCCTCTACTTTTCCATTTTCCAAGAGCTCAAATGGGGGGGTGGTTTACTTCCCTTAAGGGATCTCCCTAAACCCAAAATACAGTCTCAAACACCACAAACCATACCGGGTGCTCCCACAGCTGCTCACCTAAACTGCTAAACTGCATCCTGTGCTCTATGTGTGTTGCTCATCACTAGTGGAAAGAGGAGTGATGAGGCTGGTCCTTGGGTGTTTATTGCCCCTGTGGGGTTTGGGACATGGCAGCTAAGGCTTCGGAAGCAGCCTGGCTCTCGGGATGGTGGGATGTAAGCACACGCTAAATTACAGATCTTTTCCCAAATCAGCTCTGTGCATGCAGTTGTAAGGCCAAGTGAAGCAGGGTGCAGCTCCCTGGGAAGTGTTGAACGGCCCCAGTGGGAGCTCCAAAGCCCCGGCCTCAATCATGCCCAGTCTGGGCAAGGGTGTGTTGAATTCGGGGAGGGTGGAGGTGCCGCGGGCGGCTGAGCAGAAGGCGGGGATGGGAGCGGGGAGTGCCGCCCTGCCGGGTTTAACAGTTAATGCTTAATTTCGGTCGCAGGAACGACACAGCGGAGGAAATACCGCGGCACCGGGCGGAGGGTGCCCGGGAACGGCGAGCGACGGCTGAATCGCTGCACGTTACCACACCGACCGCGGCTGGGGGCAGAGGGGGACCGGGTAACGGACGGTGCCGGGAGAGCTGCTGTCCCGGTCGGTAGCACACCCAGTGCCGAGGACACGTCCCCGAGGAGCATCTCCGGCAGAGATGCCCCTCCGGGGCAGCCCCAAGGAGCATCTCCGGCCCGCAGGAGGCAGCAGGGCAACGGGATGCTCCCGCCGCGCGGGGCCGCCAGAGGGCGCTGCACGACCACCGACCGGCGGGGCAGAGGACGCGGGGCGGTGCAAAGGGGCCGCGGCTGGCAGCGAGCGGTGCGGCTGGTCCGGGGCAGCGGCAGCCGGAGCGGGCCCAGGCAGGGGCGGCAGGAGAAGCGGTTCCGTCCCGTTCCGTCTCGCCTCCTCCGTGCGGTCCCGAGCGCCCCGTCCCGCGGCGCGGGAACTCGCGAGCAGCCCCGCCGAGCGCCGCACGCGCCGTCCCGGGCCCGCCGGCCGCATCGCTCCCTCATTGGTCGCGCCCCTTCGAGGCTCCGCCTCGCCGGCCCCAGAGCTCCGTCGCCATTGGCGGTGGCCGCTCGGCCGGCCCCGCCCCCTCGCGGCTGGCGTACACACCGGAGTCACGCGCCCTGCGGGCTGGACAGACGGTGGAGAGCGGCGGGGCGGGGCCTGGCCGCCATCGGCGTGGGGGGCGGGCGTTGATTGGCGGAGAGCGGCCGCGGGCCCGCCCCCGCTGAGGCGGGCGGGGAGGGGCGGGGAGCGCAGCGGTTTGAGGCGGCGCTCGGCTCGGCCCGGCCCGGCAGTCGCCGCCTGTCAGGTCCCGCGGGCAGCAGTGCCCGCAGCCTCGCCCGCCGCCGCGCCTCGCCCGCCGCCACCGCCGCCGCCGGGGAAGCCGGGGCACGCCGCAGGCGCCGCGCGGCGATGCGGGGCCGCGGTGGCGCCGAGCCCTGACCAAAGATGGCCGCGCTGCCCGGTGGGAACATGGCGGGGGGCGGCCGGGGGGCGCGGGTGCCGCCGCCGCCGCCGCCGCTGCTGCTGCTGCTGCTGCTGCTGCTCGGCGGCTGCCTGGACCGGCGGCCCCCGGCTGCTGCCGCCGCCGCGCCGCCTGCTGCCGTCGTCCCGCCCTCGGCGGCGGAGGAGACGGTCATCATCGGCCTGCGGCTGGAGGACACGGACGACGTCTCCTTCATGGAGGGGGGCGCGCTGCGGGTGAGCGAGCGGACGCGGGTGAAGCTGCGGGTCTACGGGCAGAACATCAACAACGAGACCTGGTCGCGCATCGCCTTCACGGAGCACGAGCGGCGGCGGGGCGGGCGGGCGGTGGCGGGGCCGGCGGGGCGCGGCGGCGGAGGGAGTGGCGGCGGGGTGGGGGGCGGCGGCGGCGGCGCCCCGCAGCGCTGCGGCATCCGCACCTCGGACATCATCATCCTGCCGCACATCGTGCTGAACCGCCGCACCTCGGGCATCATCGAGATCGAGATCAAGCCCCTGCGCAAGACGGAGAAGAGCAAGTCCTATTACCTGTGCACCTCCGTCTCGGCCCCCGCCGCCGCCGCACTGGGGCCCGGGTCCCCCGGAGGGCTGGCGGGTGCTGAGGGGCCGGCCGGGCCTCCCCCATGGGGCGAGACCACCTGGATCTACCATGATGGTGAGGACACCAAGATGATCGTGGGTGAGGAGAAGAAGTTCCTGCTGCCCTTCTGGCTGCAAGTCATCTTCATCTCGCTCCTCCTCTGCCTCTCGGGCATGTTCAGTGGCCTCAACCTCGGTCTCATGGCTCTGGACCCCATGGAGCTGCGCATTGTGCAGAACTGTGGCACGGACAAAGAGAAGAACTATGCCAAGCGCATCGAGCCTGTGCGGCGCCAGGGCAACTATCTGCTCTGCTCCCTCCTGCTGGGCAATGTACTGGTCAACACCACGCTTACCATCCTCCTGGATGACATTGCTGGCTCTGGGCTGGTGGCCGTGGTGGTCTCCACTATCGGTATCGTCATCTTCGGCGAGATCGTGCCGCAGGCCATTTGCTCTCGGCACGGCCTGGCCGTGGGCGCCAACACCATCTTCCTCACTAAGTTTTTCATGATGATGACCTTCCCGGCCTCCTACCCTGTCAGCAAGCTGCTGGACTGTGTCCTGGGCCAGGAGATCGGCACGGTCTATAACCGTGAGAAGTTGTTGGAGATGCTGCGGGTCACCGACCCTTATAATGATCTAGTCAAGGAGGAGCTCAACATTATACAAGGAGCCCTGGAGCTGCGCACAAAGACTGTGGAGGACGTGATGACTCCCCTCCGAGACTGCTTCATGATTGCTGCCGAGGCTGTGCTCGACTTCAACACCATGTCTGAGATCATGGAGAGCGGCTATACCCGCATCCCTGTTTTCGAGGGTGACCGCTCCAACATCGTGGACCTGCTCTTTGTTAAGGACCTGGCATTTGTGGACCCTGATGACTGCACTCCGCTAAAGACCATCACCCGCTTCTACAACCATCCGCTGCACTTTGTTTTCAATGACACCAAGCTCGATGCCATGCTAGAGGAGTTCAAGAAAGGTGGGCTCGTACCTTTGGCTGGGATGTAGGCATGGGGGGAAAGTGCTGCTTGATAGTGGTCAGTGGTATCTTCCTGTGGCGAGGGCATGCTGCAGAGAGGCCTCCTGGGTTCCTGCTCATGGAGGGGTTTGGGAAGGTGCATTCAGGACAGAGAGTGACCAATATTTAGGCATCTGCCTGTCCCCTGGGCCAGAAAGCTGATACGCGGCTGGTATGTGCCCCTGGCCAATTTTCCTCCCTGCACTGGGATGTGTGTGTGGGCACAGTGCCAAGCAAAGGTTGTTTTCTTTCTTGCTTTTTCCACTCATCTGTCCATTATAGCGAGAGCTGCTGACGGGAATCCGCGCCCGTTCCTTGGCTGTGTCTTCTCTGTGCTTTTTCAGCTGGGCTGACAGTGAGGAGCGGGTGGGCTGCCCGGGTGTCTTTTCAGGCTCTGTGCGTGCACACGTGCCGAGATAAACACAGCGCTTCAGCTCCATTCATAGGCTCAGCTGCCCGACCTCAGCTCTGTGCTCGTGTTCCAGTCATTTTGATTGATGCTATGATCTTGTAACTCATAAATAGTTTCAGGGTCTTAAAATACATTCAAAAGCAGCTGTTGGTGCTGTACTTAAGGCTTTTTTTCCTTCTGCACCCAGGACCACAGGCTCAGCAAGGACATGACCCTTTCTGCCTCTCTGATGTACAGTGTGTATTAGTTCCATGAGAACGGGACTGAGACTTTCCGGCCCCAGCCCCCTCTTACTTGTAGGAGGTGTTGACCTGACAAATGCATCCTAATTCCTGTTAGAAGCTTTTGCTTCGAGAAAGGAAAAACATTTTTTGTTTTCCTTCTAAAATTTGTTCCTCTCTGTGCACCGAGTAACAGCTCTATATGGGCTATGCAGGACAGTGCTTTCAAATAAAATTAAGGAAAATTTCCAACGCACTGGGTGTATAGACTCCTGTGCTGGAAAACTGAAGGCTGTTGGAGTGCCATGGAGCTGTTTGGACCTGGGGAGATCTGATCAGTGTACCCCTGAGCAGCTCAGTCCTTGGGAGATGAGATCTTTACAGCTGCACTGACTCCACAGTTAGATTCATGGGGAATATCTGAATTCACCTTTTGTCGACTGCAAAAGTTACCTTGAAAAGAACTTCGTAAATTGGTGAATGGTCTTCCTAGGTACTGAATTTAAATTGCCACTTGAATTTCAGGAGCTGTTTTTTTCCACACGCTGAGCTTTGACAACATGGCATTTAGTCTCTTTTTTTTTTTTTTTTTTCTGCTTAACTCAGTTTTGGGTATTTGGAGGGTTACCCCACTGGTTTTCTCATCTTTATTTCATTTTCACAGATAGAAGGTGAGCATACTTCTATTTTTATTGAGTGGTTTTCTCCATCTCTTTCTGTCTTGATGTAGTGATGGGGAAATACTACTTGGGCTCAGAGCTGTTGAAGGAGAAATGAAGGAGAGCCTCCCTCGGCTGTGATTTCTGCACTGTGGGATCTGCAGCTTGGATCTGGGAAAATCAATGATGTCACTTAACTGTTGGCTGGTTATGATGGGATTTTGCTGCATGTGTGGGCGTAGGGTAGTTCTTCTCACCCCCCTGCCCTGTTATTTGGACTCAAGGAAGCATAGTGTGGTTCTTAATCTGTAGCAAGACTTATGTTTTTTTCTAGTTTTGTTTGTAGCAAATTGTCTGATGAATATTACGTTGGTCACTTTATTACCCCTGTCAGGAAAGAGATGCAATGCATTCCTCTGTGTTAGTCCTTTTTGTTAATAGCTGGGAGAATTACGTGCACATTTTAATCCTGCAAGTGTGGCTAAGCCAAATATGTCTCCTTACAGTTGCTGAAACTTGTGCTTAAAATAGGCTTCTTAAAACTTCTCCTGGGTGGCTTGGAAGGTGCAGGCCAGAGACTGCTTTCCCTGGTAGCTAGACTTCCCTTGCCTGCCCTAGGAGATAGCCCAGTAGCTCCTAACATGTGTATTCCCTCCTGACATCATTGTGTCCTGGAGTAGGATCTGTAGTTGTGAATAAATTCAGTCTAGCTTGATCATACTTAAATGTATACTCCAGAATAGTTATGGTGGTTGGTCTGTATGGGCAAGCCCTGTGTTAGGACCAGCTCTGTCCAAACTGGTTTCTCCTTAAAAAGTGCAGATATGGTGGAAATAAATGGCTTCCTTTGTCCTTTGAAATGAATGTAAATAACTGATAGCTTGCTTGATCTGGCATAGCGCCGTGTCTTTTGCAAGAGTGCTTCAGACTTTCTTCTTCAGAGCAACCTTGCCAAATCCCCGTGAGAATGTACAAATTAAGGGTGACAATCAAATTGCATGTTACTCTCTGGTAGTGTTGAAAATAAATAAGCCTACAGTTTTAATCATTCCCTTCCCATCACATTGACCTTTCCCAAAGGCTTGCTTCAAAACTCACATGTATGTCTGTTTTCCTTCCACCCAGGTCCCTGCTACTACAGTTTGGTGCAAGAGGCAGCTTGTGTGATAGTGCTGTCAGTTGAATGCTTTAACTGGTTTTAAGGAGAAAAACCTGTATTTTTTAGCAGTTTGGTAGTTAGCTGGATAGGTGGGGGTTTGAAGCTCACTTTTTGGGCAGGAGCAAAACATTCTTAACCTAAGCATGGAATTGGAGGCTTAGAAAGAGGGGATTAAAAGCCAAGCATGGCAGGATATATGTTCTTCCATGGTTGCAGAAGATGAAATGTGTAGTTCTGTACTTGTTCTGGTGCTTAGGCTGAGCAGCTGGAGGATTTGGTGGTGGGCCTATTATTAATGTTCTTCACCCACAATTGCAAAATCAGTATCTGTTTCACTTCTGTGCTGCCAGGCAAGAAACTTAATTTTAAAAGTGAGCTGTAGCACGTTCCCAGTCGCTATTGCTCTAATCTCTTAAAGTGTGAATAAACATGATTTCTGAAGCAGTCTGCAGGAAAGCTTCCCCTCTAAAAAACATTGTTTACTTACAAATAAGTAGCTTTTAAAAGAGGGGCAATTTTCTGTTCTCATTGACAGACCTTATACCTACCTCTATGTGCACTGTCAAATCCATTTGCCTACAAGGTGAGCAGGCTGTGTGTTTAACTTTAATTCAATCATTCAAATTTAATGCAAGGAAGTGTAAGGTACCCTTTATACTGGCCTAAGGAATGACCTGCCCAACTTTGCTTAGTGCAGAGAGATACTTCGTTTGAAAAAAGTCCACTACCAGCAGATCTGATGTTGGCCACTGCTGTAAAGGGAAGCAAGGTGTTGTTACCTGTTCCAGGACTGATTTGTGTCCTGCTTTGTAAGCTGCAGCAGGGAGTGAATGAGAGACAAAGTAATTTTTGGAAAGAAGCTAGTGAACTGTCTCCGCTGATCTCCTTTTTCTTGTTGACAAGTGTGTGGGCTTGCTGCTCCCCCCACTTCCCTTTTTGACAGTTTTCCTAAGTCTCTTCTCAAATGCTCTCTGGCACTTGCTCTCAGTGTTTTTCACAGGTAGATCCCTGCGTGTGTGATCCTAAATCCAAAGTGTTCTATTTCTAGCTCCCTCCCTGCCAGAGCAACAAGAATGCAGCTTGAAAAGCCTCATGTTGTAATACTAATATTTCAAGACCGGCCCACTTTCTACCAGCCATTGTACTGCTGCTTTCCTGGTGGCCTGGACCGCTTTGGAGGTTTGTCAGAGCCCTCCTTACCTGGAGACTTTGAGTCATATGTTTGATCTTACTTACATCTGTATCCACTATTATGTTATACGGAAGATTAGAGTTAATAACCTATTGCAAAGAAGTCACAGTAACTGTGTGCAGCATTTCTGAGCTCTGCTTGCCTGAATCACATGGCAGCCTTGGGAAAATTCCTGGATTCCTTATTAAAATCATCTCCAACTGGACTCTAAAAGGTTTTTCTTTCCTAAAAACAATGTCGGATTTAATTTGGTGGTCTTTTCTTCGGGTTCTGTTGGGCTTGTATTGTCTGTTTTTAATAGTGTGTGTGTTTGGTGGTTACATTGAGTGTGGACATAAGACCTGGAGAAAAACTTTGTCTGTTTGTTTTCTAGTTCTTTTTCCCCCTCCAAAGAAAACCAAGCCCCAGCAACTTAAAACATAAACCCCTTACTTTTGAGGGAGCAGAGAAGAATACCTAGACCTGCTTACTCCTCGTCTGAGCACAAAGATCCTCTTTTTGGAAGCAGGTAGGGCAGCAAGTGGTTGGTAGCCCAGGAATCCAAAGTTTTGTATGACTCCTGTTGGTCTGAGGTTTTTTTTGGTATTAAGTCATCTACCTTTCTGGTACAGCTGTAACCCAGCCGTGTAGGTGGCTTCTTTCCTGGTCTTTTTCAGGTTTTATGGAATACCATCCAGAGTCCAGACTCCCCATAAATAACTCTTATTTAATGGGTCTTCATGCTCACTTTCTAGTTTATCTGACAGGTTGTCTGTCTCCTGAGCCATTTTTCTGTGTACGCCTGTGGCTGCAGCATTACAGGAAACTGGAAGAAACTCCATAAATCCCTCTGGGATTATGAAGGGGATGTAAAACTCCTTGGAAAACAATATAATTTTCAAGGCTGCTTGGCTAATAAAAGGCATCTCCTCTGATCCTTTTGCAGAAATTCATATAAAGGGAAAGGTGTTGAGGAGATCCAGTGTGGAGTCTTTTTGTGTGAAAGAGAGTAGGGGAGTGGTAGGTGGGAGGGAGTTTGCCACCAAGATACAGAAGACTTCTCATGATATGCCTGCAGATTTGTTCCTTGAACAAAAATTGCATGTGGGGGTGGGGGTTGCCTCGTGACACTGTTTCTTGGCTGTCTGACAGTGTAGCACCCGCAGGTACTGCACTGCCAAGAGCTTTGCTGGCCTTGCAGAGCTCCTAGGGGATGAGCCCTTGTTCCAATGAAGAGGAGCAGATGTGGGTTACTGCAGGCAGCCCTCCTGCTGGTATGCTGAGGGGAAGGCGTCAAGGGGAATGCATTGGAGAACAGCTCCAGTTCTTCTTGGGCTTCCTCCTGGTAAGGTTTTTTTAGGGATCAGGAGAAGAAGAGGTGCTGCTGGAGAGCTGTAGTGCTTCTTCACCCTGGCCTAGGTGAGAGACCCAGCTGGAGGCTCTGGTCTGCTGCTGACAGTAGAAAGAAACACATGGTTCAGGTGGCTGGCAAGGAGAGGGGTAAGTGGATTATATGGCTTGAGCAGTAGAGGTTTGAATCTGATGCTCATGTTGTGTATGATTCTTTGATTGCTTTTTAAGCAATTGCTAGCAACTCTTGTCATTCAACAAACGCAAGAAGTTACCTTTTCCTCCCCTCAACTGTTTGCTAAGTTAGCAAATGCTTTCCTGCACTGAGGCTGATAGGAGTGAATTCCACCACAGGTGAACCATGTTCCTCTCTGCTTTCTCTCTGTCTGTAAAGGTTATCTGTAACAGGCAGAGATGTAAACTTCAGGTCAGTCTGTGCAACCAGCAGCATTTCATGGCCAATTTTGGAGTAGAATGAAGAGGCAGAATGTCAACTTTTGAGCAAAGGTAGTAGCGCAGGAAGATGATTCGGTAGTTCAACCATTGCAGTATTCTTCTAGGGCTGAGATTTTCTTTTTAGTTTTGGGATTTCTCTGCCAACATGAGATTCTGAGCAGCAGAATGCTTCCCTGGTGGACTTCGGTTGACTCTAAGGGGTAAGAGCAATGGTGGTGAATCCTGTGCAGTACTGTTTCTGTCAATGGCTATGGCTGCTCAGAGGAAGTATTTGAGTAAGTTTATTTAGTTCCCTGCAGAAGCTTGGTGATCTCATCAGGCTACAATTGAAACATTTCTGGAACTAAAGATACTGTCTTTGTTAAATAGCCCTAGATGTTTATTTCGGTTGGTGAGTGTGTCTAATCAGCACTGAACCTTTGTCAGTTTTTGTACAGCAAAAATGGGGTATCTCCTGTCAGTAGTTTTGCAGTGCTAGTGGCAGAAAGAGATGGATCTAAAGGTTGCATTTCTGACTGTGATTTTGTATGAAGCCATCCAAAGGCAGGTTTTGTTTTGGCAGGCTGTGATATCACTCTAGCTGGTAACTGAGGACATGAGAGAGTTAGCCACCTCACACTTCACGTGCGTTATGAGCCCCAGTTCCCTCCCTTCTTTGTTGAAGGAACCGTTATAGAGAGTGGGAGTATTAAGGGGCTTTACTAGGTCACTTAGCTTGGAGCATCAGTGCCATTAAACTGTGGACAAGACCTACTCATCTTCCTGGGGTTGACAAGTGTCTGATTTTGTCTTGCTCTCTTGAAGGGCAGACATTCTAGTGCACAGGAATTAAGACCTTGAGAATTTGAACTCTCACTGCTTCACCTCTTCTAAACACTTTGCAGTGTATGCTTATTATTAAGTCATAAGCGAGTTTTACAGCTGCTTGGTCACCATCACGTAGACCTAGAATGAAAGGAGTGGCCTAGCAGTATGCTGAATGAGTCTGTGTATCATCCTTCTGTGCTTTTTTCCCCATTAATACTTAAGAAGAGCTAACTGTATCTTATGTGCCTCTGCAGGGCTGTGTTGCAATAGCTGGTCTAGGTAGACCAATTGCACTTCTAGTGTTGAGTCCCTCCCAGTTTCACTAATGGAGCTTGTAAAACAAGCCCTCAACAGAGAGTACTCTAGGGCTCTGAACCATACCCTGGTAAGCATGACCTGGCACTCTTGTTAATTTGACAAGGCCCTGAAATACAGCCTACCAGCTACAAACAGGAGTGTAAATACTTGGTGGTAATGAGCTACAGCCAACAGCACATGGTTAACAGTCCCAGATCAGGTGTTGATCCAGCTTGGTTCCTGCCAAGGTCACCGAGTCGTTTCAGGACTATCTAGTGAAGGGGTTTGTTTCACTTTTTAACAATACATAGTAATAGAAAAAGAGATGATAAATTTGTCATTAACCTTTTGGTGGAGTCCACCTTTTCCCTTGGCCTAAAAATCAGCTGGTGGCAGAAGCAGCTATGCTGGGCATAAACTGGGGCTAAGTGTGGTGGGGTACCAAGCATTTGTGAGAAGGGTATGAAAAGCAAAGCTGGTTAAGGAACTATAAGGGGAAGAGATGACCTACTCACTTCAGTGCCGATCTTCTTACAGACAGGTAGGTGTAAGGAAGAGAAAGGGATGGCCTGGAACAGGTAAGCTGAGAAGCGCCTTGGTCTAAATGGCTCTTTGTACAACACAGAATAACAAAGTTCTCATCCTTAAAAATGCATTGTTATGAGTTGAGGCAGGGAAACTAAAGTCTTTTAAAAGGTATAAAAGGTATCCCATGGCTTCTTTAAAAAAACCCAAAACAAAAAACACAGAAAACCCCCACTGGTGTTGTGACTCCAGGACATGGAACTGTTCTGTGTCTTTCAGAAAGTGCACTTGTTAGAACCAGGTTCCCATTTCACACTCCAACTTGAACCTTGAAGTAGATAGATGGCAGGAAGATCCATCATGCTTGGAGTGAAATTGAATGTTCTTTTGACTTGCCACTGGCGTTGCATGGACAAGATGGATGTGCTTAACACAGTGGCTGGCTCAGCTTAATTTACCGTTCCTGGTCCCCAGTAACAAAGAGGCTTTGCTTCTTTTCTACCTTGTCTCCACTCTTTCCTTTTTTGCCCTCTTTTACTCAAAAGTGCTCTGTCTGTAGTAGCTTTCCACTCTGGGGAGTCATCATTAGGGGCCCTTGGAGACCTTTGAGCCGTTGTTCTCATGTTTTGTGTGAAAATTGCCTCGGGACCTTCCAGAATTTTGGTAGTAAGTAGTTTTCACTGATGAGAAGAATGACTTTCAGGATTTGCCACACTTATGCTTTGTCTATGGGACATCATGTGGGTTATGTGTCCTTGACTGTGCTGTTCTAGTACACAGCTTGTAAATGCAGGAGATGTTTCTTTGTCTGGGTTGGCTGGCATGTTGGAAATTAAGATTCCTACATGGGTGTTTGTGGTTATTTTTGTGACATAAGTCAGGCTTGGTCTTTTCTGGTGATGAGACCTGCTTGAAAAGACTAGTGGAAGAATTCTAGAAAAGCAACTTGTCATGTAACCAACTTGCCCTAGATGGAACAGAAACATGAAAGCTATGACAGCTTGTGAATGGGATTTGTTGTCTTTTGTATTGAAGCATTTTGCTTGTAAATTGTTGGGTATAATAATTTAAGTGCTTAAATGTGAAGCAACAGCACTTCTCATCAAAGAATTGCATTTGGAAAGGCAGAGTAAGTGTGATGCCTGTCAATCTGGGAACTGAAACCTGGGTTATTGAGGCTTCAAGTGTTACAAGTTAACATGATTCTGCTGCAGTTACTAATTAACCATGAAACAGCTTTGCTCCAGCCAAAGGAGCTGGGGCCAGAAGATGAGCACATACATTTAGTACAAAAGATCTATATAGGTTTGTTTTCTGTAATGCTTTCCGTTGGGATTACACCATTCTTTTGCTGGCAGCCCTAAAAGAATCTGCTTTTCAAATGAGAGTGGTGTTGTAACCTTGTTTCTGCAGGGTGTACTGTGCCATCAAGACCGAGTTCCTCCTTGCTTGAGGTTCTCTCATGCAGCAAGCCTGAATGAAAGCTGGTGGTGTAATCCCTTCGAGTTATATGAAGGAGCCATCCGTGACTGTTGATCCTTGTGGAGGTGAACAAGGCTTTATTTTCCCCACTTGTCCATGGGTAATGAAGGCAACAAAACACTGACTCTGCCTTAGTTGGGTACTCTGCTGCCAGCAAGGAGTTTTAAGAAGGATCTTGCCATTTCTGGTTTCTTTCCAGTACTCCACCTCTGGCATTCAGAAGATTGTCCTGCCTGCCCTTTGCACTGCAGGGTTCAAAGTGCAGCCTTGGCCAAAGTGAGCCTGCAGGACCCCTTTCCATGCAACGGTTATATGAGGACAAGGATGAGCAATTGTTCACTTTTATTTCCTGTGAATTGCTTGTCAGCAATTTCTAGACTCCTACAAAAAGGGAAGAAAATCTGCTGGTATGAACTTGTTCTTGATAAAAATTTACAATCTGGCATCAAAAATAGGTGTGGCAGTGGGGTTTAGGCAAGCTGCAGGCTTAATTCTTCCTATCAAGCCTGGGACATCTTTCCTTTGGAAGCCAGTATCGCTCTTACTGTTAGAATTCCCATACACAGCAAGCGCAGACAGGGGATTTCAGTTGATGTTACAGGGCATCCAGTAAGAGGTTTAAGTTAAATTTTATACTAGTTATTGTAGGCCTAAATTATGAATTAGAGTTATTCAGCAGCTCTAACTTTTGCTCTAAGGGACATCACTAAGTTTTTGCTTAGATGAATAAATTAGTGTGGTAGGGTTTGCTATGTGAATTTGTGTGGGTTTTTTTTCCCCTCCTGTGTAACTGAGGTATGTGTACAGATAGAGATTTTTGACCTTCAGCTTTTATTTTGGTGTCTTGATGTAGTATGTGGGGAGGAGGAAGGAAGCATCTCTCAAGGTACCATTTATATGATGAAGACTTGCTGCCTGCATCTTGCTTTTCTTTTAGCACAGGAGAAGAGGAAGGGATGCTTCACTGGAGGCTGGGGCAGTGGTCCTGTGAGTAGCTCACTGTATGGACTATATGGTATAGCTATATGGACTAAAAGTGTGGGATTTATGCTGTTCCTCAGATGTGATCTGGTCTTTGCATGCTGGTTCCCTGCCCTCATGGGGAATAACTTTTATCTTCCTGTTGATACTCTAGCTTTAGTGGTAAAGCTTGAAAACACTGATTACTGCAGCTAAGTTCAAGAACTTCACACTGCTCACAGGGAGTATTTTATTTTATTCTTAGTGCTGAAGAATTGTTTGTGCTATGTGAATGGGATTTTTCCCAGAGAAATCAAAATCCCATTCAAAATCATTGTCTATTTCTCTCTTAGTGAAAATCCTGTACAGTGTACTTTAGAGTCAACATCAGCTACTAAAAGTTTGAGTTTATCACATGCAGAGGAAAGCCTGCTTCTGTTCCTTCTGTACCAGCATATTTGTGTCTTCCTGTGACCCTTACAGAGATCACAATGCATTTAAAGCTTTATTTCCTTTCCATATGATGGAGCCTGCCTCTGTCACAATCAGGACTGACAGTTTTGTAGGTCTTTCTGTTCAGTTGACAAGGCCCAGAGGGGATTACGATCAGTAATGTGGAATTGCCTTGCCAGTAGTTTACTGGTTTAATCCAGTTTGTGTTGTATTGTCTGAAGATTCCCAACGAGGACCTGGAAAGGAAGAAGTTGCACAGCTCACCCTGTAGGCAGTCTCAGTGGGGGGTGAAGCTTCCCAACGTGGGAATCCCCTGAGGTTAGAGCTTGAGGAAGGCAGCTGGGGCAGTGAAAAAACTTAATTACCTGCATAATGGATGCAGTCTCCAAGAACTACAGCAGTCTGCTGCTGGATGCCAGCTGAGGGTTGAACCTGTGAGCGCAGTCCTAGTGTGCACAGCCAATGTGCAAGCAAATACAGGAGCTTTGTTTTTTCCTGCTTTCTCCAATGCCCTTAGGGTTAAGGGTGGGGGTGAAGGTTTCCTTGTGCTGTGTGATGCACCACAGACGGAAATCCCAGTCTCTCCTCCTCCTCTGTGCAGGGCACACCTGCTGTGCATAGGATGACTGGTCTACCAGGAGAGCTCTGATGTCAATGGCTATGCTGTTAATGGTTTTATTTTGCTTTCCAGAGCAGCTGTTTTGAATTTTTCAGTTTTTGCTGT